AAATAAAATAATAAAAGAAACTCATTAAAAACGTACCAGAAAATTATTTGAGTATTTTCGAATTAATTTATGTTCCGGTAAATATTTTGTCCTTTATATTGATTAAACCATCACAATATTTAACAATTGATCCATCTATCTACAATCGAACCTGTTTACGTAACGAGTAATTATATGACATCGATTAAAGATTAAGCTCTCTTCACCCCAATTGTCTTATTGAATTGTATAAACTTTAAAGGAATAAAAAGTAAAAAATAAAAATTTATAACGAAGATACTCCATTTCTAATCTAACTCCATTGAATTAATATATAATTTAGTTTATAATAATAATTATCTTTATATTTACTTTATTAAAGATTGTATACTAGAGATATCTTCATTTATATTTCATATATATTTAAATACTCTAATTAAGATTTTATCAATGATATTAAGTACTAAGAGAGAGCTTATGGTATTTTTTTTTTCTTTCTTAATACCATTCAAAAAAGAGTATTTGTTGGAAGGATAAAGTATTTTTGAACTCTTCAAACACTTTTAACACGAATAGAAAATACATTTTTGAGCAGCCCTTACGTAAAACCTGTTCAAAAATGCATTCCTAATCGTATCAAATCGTAACTTTAAACAAAAATAAAAACATAAGCGAGTTGCATTTGATCATCAGTCATTTGTCATTTAAAATAAAGGCAAAGTAAAAATATGGGGGATTAAAAAAAAAAAAAATTAAAATAATAATAAAAAAAAACTTCGCCACGATAATTATGTAGCGGAGTATGCAAATGAACGAAATCAAAATGCGACATCCCTTTTTTATTTTTATTTTATTGTTATTATTATTATATATTTTTTTTTTTCGTCTTCTTTATGAATGATTCTGATCACCAAAATATAACCCATTGCCGTTAAAGTATAATGCATCCGGCAGATGGATAGAGAAAGAACTAAGTAGACAAATTGAGCGTGAAGCTGAATGTTTTCGTTTCTTTTTTGATTATTATTTCTACTTAAGAACTTGGTGGAATTTTTAGTTTTTTTATTTTTTTTATTTTATTTCTTCCCCTTCTTTCTTATTTTACTAAGATGAATATATTTCGTTTCATTGGTCGAATTTGGCAATTTGGTACCGTGAGTCGTATTTGAATTATCATCGTTTTGTCATTAACCGATCGGCCACATCTTACAGTTCACATGACTTAATTTTAGATCTTTCATTTAAAAAAATACTATATAATATATATATATATAAGACGGGAGAAATATTTATTGGGTAAATATGGAAAGTAGAGAAGTTATCAGTGAAGAGAGGCTAATTTTTTCTTTTTTTTTTCTTTCTTTCTTTCCCTGTTTTTTTTTTTGCTACTTTTTACCTAAGCACAGATTATCGATTTGATGAAATATTTTTTCACTTTTTATTCTAAAAAAAATATATGAAATATAATTAAATAAATAGGAAATAACCGTAGAAAAAGAATTTTTATTGGGTGATAATTTTAATGCGTGTAAGAAAATTTAGATTCCCTTTTAGCTTTTCTACTATTCAATAAATAATGCATTTGACGAACTTATTAAATAACTTGATTTTTTGAAATTGTTTTTTTTTTTTNGTAGATTCACCGAAGAAAAATGAACAGTACAACCCACAATCTAACTTTCAGAGATTAAGGTATGACACTATCAAAAATCTGCTATAATACTAAAGATCATAAATCAATGTTCTATAATCTTTAACCTCAAGATTCAGTTAAGGCAAATACTTTAGAGCTTTAATATTTTATTATAAAATATTATTTTAAAAACAATAATAAAAAAAACATATAGGTCTGTATTTAATAGAAACGTTTAATTTTAATATTTAAAAAGTTTAATTTGAAAAATAAAACAAACAAAAAAAAAGATTAAGATGAAAAATTCAATTAAAAATAGCATTTAAATGAAATCACAAGAGAAAAATTCTGTATTAAAGGATAATGAGTTATATAAACAATAAGGTTATTAGATTTACTAAAACAAAACCCTTTCAGATAAAAGTGTATTAACGTCAGCTATTACAAAAGTAAAAATAATTTTTAGTAAATTAAATATTAAAATCTCAATTACAGAAGTCGATTTCTAATTCTTTATTCATTGTTTTAGTAACGATGTAATATGTACAATTAAGAATAATTGGGAAAAAAAGAAAATATGTTCATTAAAGAAAAGGAACATTAATCATTTCATTAATGGATCAATACAAAGAGTTAATGGAATTTAACTTAAAAGTGTGAAACAATTTTAAGTAAGTGGATTATATTTTGTTAAAACCGTATAAAGCCTTGAACTTATATTACTTTTTATTAAAAGTGGTACACAAAAATATATAAATATTATATATATTTTAAAATATTTATAACGCCAAATTCAATAAAATACATTAAATTCATCGAACGGAATTATTTATTTTGTTTAGTCTGTTGAATTTCATTATATATAAAAGCGTAATAAATAAAATATACTTAAAATATAAATTATCTAAAATAAAATAATACATTAGTATAATGAATTTTTATTTTGATTTTTATTAACAATAATAGCTTATATGCTACATATATATATATATATATATATATGTAGCGTATATTTTTTTATATTTTTTAGAAAGATATATAGGTACGTGAGAAGGATTTCCCGTGTTTGTTTATTGTATCCATGGAAAGGAAGTTGTGTTATTGGGATTACTTTATCTAACTTTATCTCTACAAAAACTTGTCTTTGAAAATATATAATTTACAGAGGAAATAAAAGAAAATACAAAAAAAAAAATAAGCGTAAAATTTTACAACGCAATTTATAATGGAAAGAAAAAAAATAATAATAACCATTTAAAGTTTTTAACAACTATTTTATGTAGTAAGAATTTTGCATGTTAAAAAAGTGTTTTTTTTTCTTTCCTAAAATATGCAAATTAGGCCTTAAAATATTCTGAATTCCCGCCAAAAATTGAATTTTTGTTTATCGGTCAAGCGAACATCTTTTAACCGAGATTCTAACCTAGAAAATACTATCAGAAAAGACTTGATTCTGATATAAATAGACTAAAGTCAAACTGATAAAACTCGCTAAACTGATAACAAGCTAAACAAACTTTCTTTTCCGGTGATGTTTTGTTTAGAGTTGTGCTTGGGCCATCTATCGGTTATCATTTTCATTAAAACTTGTACAAGGAAAATCTTCAAAAATCATCCTCCTACCTACCTTTATTTATTTCCATAATATAATATTAAGTATGTTAAATCGAGATTAGAAAAAGTAAAGAAATATGTATTTTATTATTATATATATATTTTTCATTTTCTCTTTTTTACTGTATTCTTTATATATTACTTTATACGTGGCTTCAGTTTCTTCAGCTTAATTTGCGATCAGATAAATCGAGAATGGACTAAAATAGAAATAAAAATATAGAAGTAATAAATCATAGCAATGTACTAATATCGTTTACTTTCTTTATGTTATCGATTTATCTATTTGTCGTCATTTTACCCAACTAGTTGAATGACCATTATTCATGGTTAGAAGGTTTATATTCCTTAAGGAGATCTTCAGTTCGTGAAACATTAAGAGAGTTTATAACCCAACCGATATTAATTTCAAAAATAATCGAAGAATATAAATGTCTAAATTGAACCTTTTTTTCTTTCTTTCTTTACTTTCTTCTTAATCTATTTAATAATTACTAGAAAATTAACGAAATTTCTTATCGAAAGATTTTGATTATTAAACAAAATTTTCTCTTAAATATTTAAAATTATGATGCTACGTTACCATTTATCGATATACACAGTCGACCCCCCCTATAACACTGATGATTATTCCGTTTTATATGAATTCCATGTTGTACGAGTCACTTAGATTTTAAAAATACGTGTGCCGGGCTGTGAACGGCTTACATATTTGTAAAATCTAAGTGACTCGTACAACATGGAATTCATATAAAACGGAATAATCAACAGTGTTATGGGGGTTGACTTGTACCTTATTGATCTAGCTTTGTTTGTTAATTGAAAATAAAATATAAATTTCGTATTAATTACCTTTTTGATTTCGTCAATTTTATACTCTTTTCTATCAGATAAATGGAATAAAAATTTCTATCAGTTATCGTCTTATCAATCTAATTCGAAGGTGATTACTTATTGTTAATATATTTAATCACTTTTATTTGTTATTTATTGTTATATTTAGTAATATATTATTATAAAATTAAAGTAAGAAATATTATATTAATTATCAGCTGTGATCTATTGAGAAAAATATATAAATTTCTTTAATATTTCGATTACTTAATAGTATGATTAAGCTTGAAGCAATCTGATAATCTTAATAACATCATTACATAAGAAAAGAAAAGAAATTAAAAATAGTTAGCATATTTTTTCGAAAGAAAGAAAAAAAAAATCCTTATAAAACTGTCTACGAGCGATTTGTAGGGATTTTATTGCATTTATTGTTCTCGTAATTGTTTTCTTGTTAAACAATTCGATATAAAACGAGATAATAATTTATATTATTTTATGCTAGTAAAAGATTTTCTTCTTCCTTTTTCTTCCCTTTTTTTTTATTATTATCAATCTTGGAGGTAACAATAGTATATGTATGAAACTGTAGGAATGGGGAATGATCGTTATGTGAGTTCTGTCACGTATCATATTCCTTCTACCATAAATCGTGAGTTTTCTCCAAATCACATATCATAAAAAATCTCTTTATTAACCTACTCTGTTACATTTTCTTACTCGGTGAAAGTTTAATGTTTAATAATTATTATTTCTTTAATTTATTTTGTGCACTTTGTCCTCCCCCCAGTTTTCCGTTTTTAGCATCGAAAACGTTATAAAACCTGATGATGATAGAATACGCGTAATTATCATATGACAATTTTTATATCAAGATCAAAAAACTTGGCTCATGTATGAATATATTACTAATGTATCAGAATGACTAAATTTCTGAGCAATTCTAAAGGCGAAAAAGCAATGCCGAAGAGTCAAATTGATAACTGATAAAAAATTATACTGTACTTTTGGATGTTCATTTTCAACATAGACCTTATAACATTTGTAAGTAAAATAATTTATATTAGCCATGTTGTAGATCCCATAAAGATTTTTTTTCATTACTGTTAACATACATTAATTACTAGTTAGAAGTTCCTAAACTTTAGACACGATAAAGTTCAATTTAATAAAGAAAACAACTCGAATATACTCTTACCATATACATATTTATTTTTACTAAAATTAACCACGTGTATATATAAAAATAAAGTAATTAAATCAATTTATATCGATGGAAATTACTCGAGAAATGCTTTCTTAGTTAAAAAGTTATGCATTTATGTTAAAAAAAAAANTTTTTTTTTTTTTTTTTTTTTTTTTTTTTTGTAGCAAAGCCATATTACAAAAGATGTTTCTACATTTTAATGCAATTGTGTTGCGTGGAATTAAGTTACGAAGTAAGGAACTACATATTAATAATAGCTTAATAACAAATTTAATTTCTATTCTTTTGCTACACACAATGGAACATTTTTGACGTTTTCTGAATAGTTTGAAGTACTTATTAATAAAAGAATAATTACAAATAAAAATATAATTAATATACTCGCTAGAATTATATAAAGATAAGTACATAGTATATACTCGAATTTAAGTATTTTTAATAAATTCAAATCTACAATGTATTTAAATATACAAAAGTATTTTCTGTATGCAACTTAAACTGTTAGAAAAAAAAAAAAAAAAATTCTTGGTATAAACAACGTCTTTCTACCAATATTTTCTCAAATCCTCGTCTCATCTTACTCTTAAAATATAAAAAATAAGATATTTATATACTAAATATAAATATATATAATGCTTTTGAGTCCTTTAGATTCAATCTAAGTAACTTTAATAATAAACCGTAATGTTATTTTTTTTCTGACGATTTTCATTTCTAGCAAAATTAATAACTATCAAACTATGTTATATAATATTTGCATAAAAGACTCAGCTTATGTAGCTTTGTTTCTTCTGAAAAGCGTTTTCCAATAATGTTTATATCATGATTTTGTCGAGAGAATTTACATCAACTATTCCCTATTTCTTATTATTATTATTATTATTATTATTATTCATTAAATGTAAAAAAGTCTTAATAGTTTCTATATCTTTGAATATAAATCGATTCTGGAAAGGATTTATAATCTATCAAAACGAAATTACAGTATTTGAAATCATCCTTTTAATATTACGAGCGCAATGTCTGCTCGTAACGTCAAAGGTTATTACACTAATCAAGTTATTTTGGTCCTATACAATTTGCTATTTTGCTTAACAAATTTATAACTGAAAAACTCGAGAATAGTGAAAAAAAAATCTTTACCAATCGCATATTATTATTATTATTCTTTCTTTTCTATTCGTAAGGCAAACGGCCATTCTTTGAAACAGAGTTTTAATCTTTAAACGTAAGTACGGTCCTACATACAACTTTTATTATCATTTTTAGGATAAATTGTGTTGTTTACTGTACATGGTAGCTCCAAGTTCATGTTAAGACGATAAATTTTAACACTGCATTATATTGTTTATGTCAATAAATGAGTGATACGATCTGATATATTTATGAGATGGACAGTTTGTTTTGACTAATTTTTGTTATTTATTTTATCTTTTATCATTCAAAGCAGCAGAAGGAAGCTATTCTTTGCCAATACTATTTCATATTTTAAATGATATTTTATAAAAGATATTCTCTATTATTAATGCTAAAAAAAAGTAATTGTTATAACTAGAGTTAACATTCTTAACAATTCGACCCCCATTTAAAGAAAATAACAGAAATAAATTAATATATTTTTTTTCTTTCTTTTTCGATAATCTTTAGTGATAAAGTTTCAAAAAATATTAAACAAATTTTAATGTTTTTGAATAATTTTTATATAATCTTATCCTCTGTTAAACAAATAAATTCATTTCGAAATATTTTTTTTTTTTTTTTTTTTTTTGTAGCAAAGCCATATTACAAAAGATGTTTCTACATTTTAATGCAATTGTGTTGCGTGGAATTAAGTTACGAAGTAAGGAACTACATATTAATAATAGCTTAATAACAAATTTAATTTCTATTCTTTTGCTACACACAATGGAACATTTTTGACGTTTTCTGAATAGTTTGAAGTACTTATTAATAAAAGAATAATTACAAATAAAAATATAATTAATATACTCGCTAGAATTATATAAAGATAAGTACATAGTATATACTCGAATTTAAGTATTTTTAATAAATTCAAATCTACAATGTATTTAAATATACAAAAGTATTTTCTGTATGCAACTTAAACTGTTAGAAAAAAAAAAAAAAAAAAATTC